GGCGCTCGTACCATATAATTGTATGAACACTCAATACGGCGTCCGAATCGGAAATAGCGTCCGATTTTATTACCGATCCGATTGTCCGAAGGCGCGCTCTTTATACTTTTGCGGGGAGACGAAATACATATCCGATTCTTCCCTCCGATTTGCAGCGTTGCCAATGCAAATTATTCAAAATCCCCAAAAATCAAGGTTATAAATTTGGTCATATTTCCCACATATAATAATATTTATTATTTCTCAGTATTTATTATATTGTTACTGTTACGCTTAAAAATATATCAAATAAGAAAGTCAAAATGGGCCCATCTATTACATATACGTTATGCTATAATAAAATAAACTCAACAAGTTGATTTAAGTTTAAACTTTAATATTTAAGCTTGACCAGTGGCAAGCTGTGGTATTAATACCTAACCATGCACATCCGGGACGTGGACGGGTCATGCTCCGTCAGGGGCTCAAAAAAATATCGTTGCGTAATATTTTGTATGAACTCGTTCTCACTTGTCCGTGTCCGGGCCGGGGCCGGGACGGCCCGCAGTTCATACAAACTAGCACGCCCCGTTCACGTCCCGGGCACGGCCCTGATGTGTGTGGATAGTCCTTTAAAATACCTACTGATCGGCTTTGTTCGGCAACAGCTGTATTCTTTTTTCACACCGGGGACCGGTCAAAACGAGGAAGGGTCGCGCGCTCAACATGCACCGACTGATCATCATCTAGGATGATGATGGTCAGTCGGTGCGTGTTGAGCGCACGTTTAAAAGCCAGGCTTTTGTCGGTGACTGATAATAGTAGTAATTTTACAGTACAAGATAAAGTGATTCTAGTTCTATTGGATAATTTTATACGTATAAGCGGTTTGCTAATAATTCTATATAAACGTTGCTAAGTAAGCAGCGCATGTGCGATGTTGAAAAAAATATTGATATTGTTCATAAACAAACAAATAAATAATGTTTTTATCAGTGATCATAAATGTTACAAAAATATGATAAAATTCTAGAATGCGAGGGCATTTTCCCCATATATAATCCAAACAAAATCCCCAAACGAGCTGTTGAGTTGAGATTCCCTGTATTTGGGGAATTCCCCATAAATTGGCAACACTGCAGTTAGTTCAGAAAAAGTCTGACGTAAGAATCGGACGTGTATTAAGTGAATCCGATCCGATAGTCGGATCCGACCATCAGACACGAAATCGGACGTGTATTCTCGCGCTTAAACTAATGCGCGATGCGACGCGACGTGCTGGCGCATAAGCGTCTAGACAACTCGGTGCCGATCGCCTAATTTTATTTACTATTTTGAGATAACCATGCGTTAGAAATTATCGAGAAATATTAAAATAAAAAAAGGGGAATTTCTTTTTGTTTTATTTCACTAATGTGTTCTATTGCTGAATCTTATTGCACAGGAAATAATCTCAGTACAGAGTACTAAAAAAACAAACCTCAAAAGTACGTGGAATTACGTCTATTTGCTAAGTTTTATTGAAATGTCCCCTAGTTCGCCACTATACAGGACTTGACACTGGAGATAATAAAAATCGGTTCTCACTACTCAAAGTATATTGAGATAAAAACGCCTTGAATTGGAGACATAGCAAAATCAACCATTAAAGTAATTGCTCCTAAATTAATGTTAGGCGCTATTTATGAAAATGAATCTTCATGCGTGAACAGCCACCCTTCGAGGTGGATGATTTTCTTCAAAATGAAATGGGACCACTATGGAAATACCCCTTTTCCAACAAAAAAAGAATCATGAAAATCGGTTCACAAATACCGGAGTTATCGCGTAACATGCATACAAAAAAAAGAAAAAAGAACATACAGTCGAATTGAGAACCTCCTCCTTTTTTGTAGTCGGTTAAAAATGGACAGTGATTTTTTTATCACCTTGTATATACTTACCTAAAATTATTACAAAACATTCAAAATACATTTTGCATAAATTCACTTGTTCACTACATTATTTTGAAACAATAGAACGACAATTACACGTAAAACTTGAAACATTCAATTACATTATATAAAACGTAATGAGCAATCATAAATAGAGGTGTTTTATTGCGATTATTTATTACCTACGTAAATAGTTTTGTTCTAGTAATTATTTTTTTTAATTGAAGTTACGTTTTTGTATATGCAGATGTCAAAGGAAGTAGTTGTCAAGCGTTGAAAAAAAAGATGCGTATATTGTTCACTAGTTTTTTTATATTATGTAAGTATTGTTTGATTGTAATGCTAGATGTACAGTAAACAGCACATCAAGCTATACTAATAGCTTTGTTCGAATATCGCCTCCAGTGCACCGGAACAAGGGGGTCGATTCAGAACCTTACGATAACTCAGTTGTCGACCGATTTCTTTTCATTTTTATTCACAACACCCGAATCAAACTGTCGTATTCGATACCGAATCGAAATGACGTCACACCAGTACAATTACTCGAACTTCTCGACCGGCAAAGCCAAAATACGTTATTCAGACATTGACTTAGAATTATATGGACGTCGGGTCCGCGCTAAAAAGTGTCCGAACTTATAGGGCGTTAAAATCGTATACAGAGCGTCATTCACGCTTTAGTCTTCGTTTGTTCGACTGACAGCGAAGCAAGCAAAATTAGACAGTACTGCGATGACATTACAATTTAAATTCAACGTTTTAGCTTTTTCATATTCCTTTACATGTCACCACGTTTAAATAGGTTGACTTGGGACATTTTTTTCGTGGTTTTTGTATTAGACACGTCGTCCATTTATTTGTAAGTCAATGTATTCAGAAGACAGTTGTCGAAAGAAAGCTACCGAAAATCCTATTGTTTACAAAGCAAGAAAGTAATATTGAAATCTCTATTTTAAAATAAAGTCTGGATGTTGTTCAATTTTATTAATTTACTTAACCAATCGAACGATTCGGTTAAAATATCGAAGAGTTCTGAATCGGGGTCCAGATCCGACAAAAATATTAGTTTTTGTCAATGAAAATCAATTTAGTGCTACTTTTGAAAGAGTTCGTCCAGGGAAGTACTGCCACCTTACCTATTTCTGCCGCTAAGTAGTATTGTGAGCATTACTGCGTTCCGGTTTTGAAGGGTGGTGGTGAAATTATAGGCACATGACACTTAGGAAATGAAACTATTTTTCCGGATTTAAATTGGGAATATTTGTTTTTTCAAACAAACCGACATTTCGGGCCCTTTACAGGTCCCATGGTCACTGAGGTGGTACAGTCTTCAACCAGTTATGTCTAATATTAATGCAAACCACCCTATTTTTTCCACTATAGTTACAATAGTTATTAATTAGTTATTAATAATAAATTAAACTTAATGAAAATTCATTCAATAAAATAATTTGTAAAACTTAATGTAGCGTAAATTGGAATGTTTTCTTTGTAAAATTAAAAATAAGGTATTTAATTAATAACTATTGTAACTATAGTGGAAAAAGTAGGGTGGTTTGCATCAATATTAGATATAACTGGTTGAAGACTGTACCACCTCAGTCAACCGTGACCATGGGACCTGTAAAGGGCCCGAAATGTCGGTTTGTTTGAAAAATAAATATACGCGATTTAAATCCGGAAAAATAGTTTCATTTCCTATGTGTAACAATCGCGAAAACCTAAGAACTCGACACATGACACTTGTCAAGTTAGCCTCAGGGTGACGGGCGCGGGGGCAAAGCTCTAAGTTGCACTGTGTACCATGGCGCACGACTCGTTCGTCCCGTCACTTGGTGTTATAAAATTATCTCAGTACAGAGCACTAAAAAACCCGATCTCGTCTCGATTTGCCAAGTTTCATTGAACTCGGTTACCGGAAAGTGCGTGAAACCAGTTTCATCCCCTAGTTTGCCACCTTTGGGATGAATAGGACCGCTACCGAGGTAGCCTCCTAACCTAACCTCTTTCCACCAGAAAAAGAATCATCGAAGATCGGCTCACAAATGATCGCGTAATATATGTATACTTCATTGACTTACAAATAAATGGACGACGGGTCTAATACAAAAACCACGAAAAAAATGTCCCAAGTCAACCTATTTAAACGTAGTGACATGTAAAGGAATATGAAAAAGCTAAAACGTTGGATTTAAATTGTAATGTCATCGCAGTACTGTCTAATTTTGCTTGCTTCGCTGTCAGTCGAACAAACGAAGACTAAAGCGTGAATGACGCTCTGTATACGATTTTAACGCCCTATAAGTTCGGACACTTTTTAACGCGGACCCGACGTCCATATAATTGTAAGTCAATGGTGTACATACAAAAAAAGAAAAACCAATTAAGAATCTCTTTCCTGTTTAAAAAAAAGTTTTTAAGTCGATTAAAAAATGTACCCGAGTACTGCAGTTTAATCCTTTTTTAAGGAATAGAGTAGAATTCATTTATTGTCTGAAGTGATGAACATTACGATCTTATGAACATAATTACAATCCTCACAATCTCAGAAACTCCAAACCTATTTTTTTTTTATAAAATATAAGTGCGCATTTGACCTCCATCTCACCTGATGGAAAGTGACGATGGAGCATGCACACCTTATTCACTCTCGCCTTGAAAAGGTCCAAGTTATAACGTTCAGGGAACAAGTCTGCAGGCAGAGAATTCCACTCCATAGCCGTTCGCCATATAAATGTGGAACCGTAACGCTTTGTGCGAATCTTTGGAATATCCACAACATAGGGGTAGAACCCGAGCCTACGCCTAGTCCCCCGGTGATGGAAAGGAGAAGGCGGAATTAAATCGTGTAATTCCATCGCACACTCTCCGTGATACATTCTGTAAAATACCGACAAGCAGACAACTTTACGGCGGTGTTCAAGGCTCTGCAGCTTCGCCTCCACTAATTCCGAGTCATCTATAAGCCTCTTGTCAAGGTTGTCAATTGAATCCAAAGCGGCCAGTTGATATGTAGCAGAGCCATCCCAAAGGTGGCAGCAGAAACATGCTTTATTTATTTTTCAGGTTTCACGCATTACACCAACTCGGAAGGTTTGCGGTACAATTGGTGGACGAGTCCAGCGAGTGTCAGAAAGTTTTTTGTTGAATTGGGGTCACACGAGGTAATGAAAGGTAATGCTTCACTTTCACTTAAATCACATTGTTGTCACTTTGTACAAAAACTTTGAATTCGCCGAGAACCTATACAGTTCCCCGTGAAATAATCGTTTACCTTAGTTAAGCGAAAATATAAGCGGTAATTGGCCACTTCTATTCTATCTCTTCTCTTTGGTTTTTTGTTGTGTAGCGTTTGTTTTGCTTTCATATGAGTTTGTTGTCGTGGATTGTTAACAAAAGTTTGTGGAATTACATCTATTTGCCAAATTACGGAATGTGGCTGAAATCGAATGAATCGGACTCATACATTGACTTACAAATAAATGGACGACAGGTCTAATACAAAAACCACGAAAAAAATGTCCCAAGTCAACCTAATTAACCGTAGTGACATGTAAAGGAATATGAAAAAGCTAAAGCGTTGAATTTAAATTGTAATGTCATCGCAGTACTGTCTAATTTTGCGTGCTTCGCTGTCAGTCGAACAAACGAAGACTAAAGCGTGAATGGCGCTCTGTATACGATTTTAACGCCCTATAAGTTCGGACACTTTTTAGCGCGGACCCGACGTCCATATAATTGTAAGTCAATGGACTCATGGCCCTAATTAGTGGAACATTTCCTTCAAATTTGAGAATAGCAGTAGAGCTCTTTGGGAAAGAATTTGTCCAGGGAAGTACAGCCACCTTACATATTTCTGCTGCCAAGCAGTAATGTCAGCATCACTGTGTTCCTCTTTTGAAGGATAAGGGTACAGGTGAAATTACAGGCACATGGGACTTGTCAACTTATGTCTCAGGGTGCAGTGGTAATGCCACACAAATCTTTGCAATTAAAGATCTGAGTGTCACTATAACTGTTATGGACAAGCGTGTAGCTTACCTTTAGGCGCACGACTTGTTCGTCCCGCCACAAAGAAAGAAAGCGGGGACCACAATTGAGGTACTCCCTTTCTAACAATAAAATAACTAGTTTGTTATAATTATTAATTGTATTAATAATTATAACAAACTAGTGGAGTATTTTCACAAAAAATAATTGAATATCAATTCAATAAAAATTTAATTAATACAGTGAATAGCGACATTTCTCGCCAGGACTGGTAGCTGTAAAGGTATTAACTGGGTGATAAATCTGTAAAAGATTTCTCATAGAAGGCGCTACGACTAAAAAGTCGTTGAAAGACCAAGTACAAAGGCACGACGCAAGCACATAGAAAAATTCGTGAGGTCCGTTGGTTCGTTCCGTGGCTTAGTTGGTATAGCGTCTGGTACGGTATGCAAGAAGACGTCGGTTCGAATCCGACCGGATCGAAGGAATTTTTTCTGAGTGTTCGATCTTTGTATTATTAATTATAAAAAAAGAATAATCATCGGGTTCGGGCTCGGGTCGGGAAATATAGTCGAATTTAGAACTTCGTCCTTTTTGACGTCGGTTATTAATAATAACAAACTTTTGTTGTACATTGCTTTTATTTTTGCAGCGCAAACGAGACAGTACTCTGTAAACCACATCAGGCATGAATATGAAGACAGCCCGCATTTTGAAATGGGATACATGCTAGGCGAAATCGTTGAAAGGTTGGTACGAGATCACCATCAACCTATTTATACGTCTCACGGCAGGGTCTCCTCTCAGGCGAGGTTTACGTTTTCCGAAGGTTGAGAACCATCTTCGACGTGCAGGTTTTATTGCGATGTTTTCCATCACAGAAAAGCTTATGGTTAATTCCAAATCAAATTTCACATATAAATTCCGAAAATCGCGGAGGTTCGAGTCCGGATACGAACCCACGGCCTCTGCATGACAGGCGGTAGGTAATATCATTAAATACAAATTAATTTATTCAATATCAGACAACATAATCCATAATTATACATAGAGCGCAGTATAAGTTTCCGGAACTGGCCACTTACATAAATAATATTAAAAAATAATCAGAACATTTGAAAGTGGAAGTCTTTGGCTGTAGAATACAGAAATCTGACTGTCACTTGTTTTTACATTGTGGCGTCATTTTAGAAATTGGTTGTTTACAACACTGTGGATTTAACTCGTGAAAGTTTTCGTAGTATGATTTTCTACGACTTTAAGTGTAATTTAACAGCTTCAAAGTGCTTTTGGCGATGAAGCACCATGCAAGACGACTATTTATAGCTGGTTTGCAGAATTCTAATGCGGTCGCGAGAATCTCAATGACGAATTTCGTGATGGTGGCCCGTCCACTGCTGTGAACAACAAAAACATCGATGCTGTGCGCCGTATGATCAAAACAGACAGGCATGTGACATACCATGAGATTCGGGCATCTTTAGGCATAGGCATGAGTCAAATACAATCAATACTACAGAAATATTTGGGTGTGAAAAAGCTGTGCTCACGGTGGATCCCACACAATTTTACTGAGGCTCAAAAAACGGATCGCGTCATTTGATGCAATGCCATGCTTACCAGATTCAACGAAGGGGCGTCAAATTTGGTGTGGGACATAGTAACAGGCGATGAAACATGGATTTATAGTTACGATCCCAAAACAAAGCAGCAATCGAGCGTATGGGTTTTTCGAGATGAGCTGAAACCAACTAAAGTGGCACGCGTGCAAAGTGCCTCTAAGCGGTTGATTGCTTCTTTTGTTTTTAATAAAACTGGACACGTGACTACAGTTGCTTTGGAGAATGTATGTACCCTGAATAGTGATTGGTACACGACCATTTGTTTGCCGGAAGTTATTGACAAACTCCGTAAAAATAACCGTAAATGCCGTATCATCTTGCACCACGATAATGCCAGTACTCACACACCCAGACAGACAAATGAATTTTTGAAGGTCAACAACGTTGACCTTATGAGCCATCCCGCGTACAGTCCCGATCTGGCACCTTGTGACTTTCATTTATTTCCAAAATTAAGAACCAGTTACGCGGTCAATGATTTTCATCACCTGAAGACACCGTCGAAGAGTATGAAAAATATGTATGTTTCGGAGTTTCTTATTCCTTCCGAAAACTTATAGTGCGCCTCACGTGTTACATTAATTATATTTGAAGTTACGTTTATAAATTGTAAATTTTAAATAATGTTTTAAAATATAAATAATTAATTGAAGTAATCAAAATTAAACATTAACAAAAATTTTAATAAATTACAATTAACAACATTCGTGGTGCTTAATAGTGGCACCTTTTGCTTAAGTGTACCATACTACAGTGGTTTACGCAAGCGCTGAAAAGGTTGTAACCCTAACAAGCCGTGACCAGGTTAACGGCAGTAGAACAGAAAACTTCAGGTTCACAAATTTATTTGAAGTCGGTTAAGGAGAAGAAAAGGTAATAAAAAAAAGGCTGTAACAATGAAAGGTATATACAAAAACAGGTACATTATTACAAAACACTCCCTAAATTGATGAATATTAAGATATTTAGTTATACAACTACATTAAGTAATACAAATTATTTTATTCAAGGAATTTTTATTAAGTTCAATTTATTATTAATTATTCATAGAAATTAGAATAAACTAAAACATATTAATTAGTACTGCAGTCTTATGTCTGTTTGGGATTTTTCATTAGCGGAAATACTGGATCCCAAACTGGTGGTACGGAGAAACCATCTTCCCTGTTGAAATTAGGATGTTTTTTAATTTCAATGGCCTCTCGCAGCATCAATATCAACATCAACGTCGGTTTGTTTGAAAAAACAAATATACGCGATTTAAATCCGGAAAAATAGTTTCATTACTATGGATCAATTCAAAATTTAAATACGAGTGGGCCGGAACCGGAGAAAAAGGCGATAAAAAGGTGGGATGACAATGTAAGGAGGTCACACCAACACACGTTCCGAACATGCGAAGTGGGTCCGAGTTTTTGTAGATTTGTATCGTCTCGGATTCGCAGTGCGAACATGCGTTTACAGAGCACAGGACTTGAACATCACAGGCAAAGTACTGTTCTCGACCATTTATTAGAAGAGACTTGTGTCCAGCGATGGGTATTTATAATATACAAAGATTATGTATAATGACAGTATAGTGACAGTCTTTATTAACGACTCTCACTTTATTTGTAAGTCAATGCTCTCACGCAAAACAAGAGAAATGTCAACACGCAGCAGTAATAATGGAAATGTTTTTGTACAACGATGAAATCAGTAATGTTCAGGTAAATTGTTTGTACTCAATTTTGGGTGACAATTTTTATTATTATTTTATTTTTTATTTATTCAATTTTATAGAAAAACGACGCTTCTTTATCGCTAGGAAAAAACTTAGTGGTTTAACTACCTAGCAATGAGCTAACAAGCTCGACACTTAAATTAACTTAATTTACTATAATATTAATTAATTCCAGAGTATATGTCTACATTTACATAAGTACTATAGATATGCTACGAACCAAGACAGTGTCTTTTTAAAGCAGTTTTGCATTTTTCGGCATACCCGGTAACCACGGTAACCAGGTTATATACTCGATGGTTTGAAATGACATACGAATAGCATTTTGGCTTTGTCAAATACATTTAAAACTCTACAGTAACCAAATAATTTGTCATAGTTATCCTTCAATTTTTATTTAACGTTGTAAACATTGACTTACAATTATATGGACGTCGGGTCCGCGCTAAAAAGTGTCCGCACTTTTAAGGCGCTAAAATCGTATACAGACCGCGACACTCCGCTTTAGTCTTCATTTGTTCTACTGACAGCGCGATACTGCGATGACATTACAATTTAAATTTCGAATAGGTTGACTTGGGACATTTTTTTCGTGGTTTTTGTATTAGACCCGTCGTCCATTTATTTGTAAGTCAATGGTTGTAAAGGACAATTAACTTTAGTTAACATAGCTGCAGTTTATGGATATTGTTGAAGTAAGTCTTATAAGTGCGTCCACAGCTACAGACCATAGTTTATTACGGAGTCAGCAAGAGACATCATTACATACGGAAGTTTGTATTGAAATAGACTGTTTAGCTGCAAAAACCCTTAGTTTGTTACATACGTGATCTATGTGTGGTCTCCAGTTAAATTAAGAATAAGAATATATTTATTGGCATCACAAACACACAGAAAAACAAAATACTTTACATATTTACATTTTTAAGACAAGAACAAGATACTTATGCTAAATGAACATTAAGTGTGTGTTAAACATTAACAAAAACATGCATTGTTAACGTGATGCCATGCCTGAAAACATTGTGAGTCATTACAGGTGGTCCCACACTAGGCTAAGCCTGTCCTGTGGCGACCTTTTTACGGCTTCAATTTCTTTATCCCGGCATTGCATAGCGTTATACGTTGAGTTACTCGTTACGTTACGTACGATTATATTATACAAATAATAAGAACTTATCTATGTATTAAATCTAACATAAGAATTGTTTATCTATAATCAGTCCTAGATAAACAATTTAACTTCTTTCCTTTTCTTCTTTCTTTTCTAACATAAGAATTGTTTATCTATAATCAGTCCTGGATAAACAATTTCACTTCTTTCTTTTTCTTGTTTCTTTTTCCTTTTCTCGAATACACCTAACATCGTGAAATATTAAAGAATGTTTCAGGTTACCACACTCGAATATTAAATAATACATCATGATGATATTCCATAAATATTGAAATAAAAAGAAATTGTCACCAAAATTGAGTACAAAAAACTTACCTGAAAATCACCCAAATACCGGTTTAAGGAAATAGTACATTGAGTATTAAGGGCGGTAAATAAGAAATTACTAACGAGAGATTGTAAGAAGCCCGATGTCGTAGGCTGAAGGCTTTAATTATTGGGTAATTTTCATACGTATACGTTCAGATTTTTTTAAATCTTATCTTTTTTTTAAAAATATTTTATTTTTCTTTTTGGTTAATTTTGTCATATAAAATCCATAGGGCGATAATGTAATTAAAAATGCCCATGGGCATGGTTTTAGAACATTACTGTCGACTTTGCCTGTATGTCATGCCACTGTTTAGGAGCAAGTATGATGAAAAACTTAGTTAAAATTATGTTATACTGGAATGTTTTGTTTTTAGTGCTTTTGAAATGTAATAAGTAAAAAAAGGCACACCCTCTGTGTGCCGTGTATGCGTACATACCCTTCGTGCGAACCTTTGGAATAACCACGACATAGGACACAGAGCCTCAGCAGCCTACGCCTAGTCCCCCGATGATAACAAAATGGATGTAGCCTCATCTATCCATCGTATGTACTCGTATACGTGGTTCTAACCAACACTTTTAATTTTGTTTTTTTTATGTGTACTGTTTATTCCAATCCAAACTTCAAATCGGATTGTTCTAAATTGCTATGTTGGTATATTGAATGACATTGGTACCAATATGTTTATAGGTTAAAGTCATGTTATTTGTAAATTATTTAGTATTCATGGCTGGTTTTGTTTTTGTGGAGCCGGTCGGTGCGTCACACAAAACTTATTTCAAATGTAGCGACTTTCTTCGAAAGGGTAGGGATCTGAAAAACAGCTTAAACTGATTCTCTTTCCTTTTTATCTACTACACACGATGTTATTTAAGGATAAACTTGTATGTTACTGTACTCATTGTAGATAAATAAAGTTCTTTATTATTATTATATATATTTTAGACTCTCGCCTCTTTCAAGGCCTAATACATTAATTAATTAATTTTTATTATTATTACAACCAGGAGGAATCCATAATCGCGGTATCGGTACTCATTGCCCCTCGCCAGTACCGGGATTTACCGGTATTCCCAGAACCGAGAAATCCCAGGAGCAAGCCCTAATCACTGCTTTAGAATTTTCATCTTTGCAGATATAGGAAACTGGTGGACATTGTTCGAGAAAATTCACAGTACACCGATATGCTGCACATGTATCTCCACAGACTAATGTTGTCACAGTCTATATTCTTGGAGGTAAGCTATGTTCAATATTTTGGATACTAGACACCACACCTTTAATTTATAGTATAGTATACATAGTATAATGAAACAAGTAGCATTAGAGGTCCTTGTGAAAGAGTTCAAGTTCAGGGAAGTACTGCCACCTTACCTATTTCTGCCGCCAAGCAGTCAAAGTCAAAGTCAAAGATTATTTATTCCATAGGTAAAATAAATTTACACTTGAATTCGTCAAATTTAAGCTACTGCTCGTTCACTA